CTGCCTGGCTGCTCTCCAGCCACTCTGTGCCCAGCCTGTAGCGCTGCAGGGGGTTGTTGTGGCCAAAGTGCAGGACCCGGCACTTGGCCTTGTTGAACTTCATCCCATTGGAGTCAGCCCATCTCTCCAGTCTATCCAGGTCCCTCTGCAGAGCCCTCCTGCCTTCCGGCAGGTCGACACTCCCTCCCAGCTTGGTGTCATCTGCAAATTTGCTGATGATGGACTCAATCCCCTCATCTAAATCATCGATAAAGATGTTAAACAGGACTGGGCCCAGCACTGACCCCTGGGGAGCACCACTGGTGACCGGTTTTAATCCTGTTTTGATCACATTCCATTTAGAAAAGGTCAAAAATGTCAAGCACTTTTTCTATCTGTGCAGTTTTAGTTTTCTTCTATAAAAAAGAGCATTTTATTTTCCTATACATGAACTGGAAAACAGTTGATAAATCCAGTGAATAAACTTCATTTAGGACAAAGCAGTTCAGAACTATTGATTTTGGTGAAGCTAAACTTATTTATCCAAGAAACTGTTTCCAAAACTTGAAGAGTTAAATTTCCTGCCTAATGGAAGTCTGACAAGTCAAATTAGAATTATTGGAAACATAGGCCTGGGAGAATGTAAACAAAAAATTCAATCGGCATAAGGAGTCAATCTTGGAAAAGAGATAGGACAGCAGCAAAGTGAGGCAAGTGGCAGAAGGAAACATATTTGGGATAAAAAGACAGCAGGTTCTACATGCAGTCGAACACACCATTTTATGAAATGTGAAATTTAATCAATATTCCAGATTTTTATCATTTCTTCTTTATTAGCAATTGTCTTTGGAACCATCTGGCAAAGAATTCTGTTCTCTAATAGCTCTGAATATCCTTTTCTCCTGAAGATTTGACCCAGGGAGGATGCATCTACTAACATTATTTTCATTTTTATTTTTTTTGTGATAACTCAATGAGCAGGAATCTGCTTGGGGTCTGAAGATTCTAGACAGCACTGTGACTCATGATGAAACACTAGAAACTGCTCCACCAGGCTGTCTAAAAATTCAGGTAGTGGCAGAGATAAAATGTCAATGTTATTTCTATAAAATGCTAATACTAAAATATATATATATATATATATATATATATATATATAATAAAATAAATAAATAAATAATTGAGTGGAACCTTGTGTTTTTTGACTAAAATGCAAACATACAGATTAGGTCTAATATTCTAATTCTAATAATCCCATAATCTGATATAATGTATTTCCCACGGATAGATTCTGTGGGAACCCACCCAGAACAACTGGCTTTCATTTAAATAATAAGTGAACTAGGCTCATGGGATTTCTAATCAAAAATATCACAAAATTGATTTTAAAAAGAGGAGGGAAAAAATCTGAGCACATGAAGAAGGGAACACTATTTGGGATGTATCACTAACTTACTCTGGAAGAGCCAGAAATGAATATGACAGAAGATGGCAAGTATAAAGTAGAAAACAGTAAGCCATGTCTAAAAAAACCAGCATGCTATTCAACTAGTATATAAAGGAAAAAATCCAAGTGCACATGCTCCTAAAAAAGTTCCACAAGTGTTAAAAAATCAGATAGGACAACTGTATTGGCTAGCTTTGAATAAACATTTCACAATAAAATATAGACAAGATCCACACAAAGTTGCTCAAGGGTTTAGGCAGTGTAATTAAAATGCTGATAATTCCTTTCCAAAATCAAGGTGAATAAGAGAAGTTCTGGTGACTTGAAAAAGCCTGAACATATATCCATCTTTGGGATAAGAAGGAGGACCTGGGCAATGGCAGCTACAGGTTCACTGCAGTCCTTGGGAAGATTATGGAAATTGTTTAATTGGAGACAATTTCCAAACATACAAAAGACAGAAAAGGGACTCAGGAGCAGTCAACATGGATTTGCTAAAAGAAAATAACAATCAACCATTATTTCTTTCTATTATTAAATTGACTAAGGTAGAATGGTGGATATATTATACTTTGCTATGGCTATTGCCTCGGTCTATGGCATTCTCATCTGGAAGCTGAACATACATGAATTTGATGATTGGAAAGGAAGTATGTTAAATATTAACACAACTCTGAGGGTCCAAGGGTGATAATTAGGCATTCAGTAGTTGGCAGCCAGTAACAAGCACAATATTCCACAGGTTTCTATGGGAAATTACACTGTTCTATGTCTTCAGGAGAAACCTAGAAAATGAGAATGCATCCTCAACAAGTATGTGGAGGATACTAAACTGGGGGGCATGGATGATATACTAAATGGCACAACGTCTGTCCAATGAACACTGAAAAACTTCAGAATGGAGTAAACAAACCCTTCTTAAAGGTTTGAACAAGGAAAGGTGCAAAGTTCTACATCTGGAGCACAAAATTCTTACATGTTATAGGCTGGGAACTGAGTAGGTGAGTAGCAACACCCGATGAGAAGTTTCTGCCTGTTGTAGTGGCCTTGATCTAGTGTTACCAACAACTTTACTTTGAGTGGGAAGCTTGACAACTTTGAGTGGGTGGCTTTTGGAGTTCCTTGCAAGGAACATTTCTATGCTGCTGTGATATTCACCTAGGATATGCAAAGAGGCTTAATGATAATTAATTCAAATGTAGCTTTAACTTCTAAATTGATACTGGCTTGCTTTGAAATATTCATGATAGCTATTTATTTTTGTTGGGTTTATGACTTCCCAAAGAGAGATCAATCCTGTTAAGTTAGAAAATTGTGCTTAAATCTAATTAAACAATTTTGCCTTTATCAGAAAATTGTGGCACATGTTAAATGAAAAAACAAGAGCCCTGTAGCTTTTCTATTCTATATCTTTCTTTTAAGGCTTTGATAACATTTTTAAAAGAATTATAATTAATTTTGTTTTTTGATAGCATAAAGATTAACAACATTTTAAAATCAATATTCAGTGTTTTGAATCCACAAAAAAGCCCAACCAATTTTAATCCATGAAGGAACACATACCAAACCCGATAGGCAGTTTTATTGTCCATGTGCAATCCAAACTACTAGGATAGTTGCCAGGAAACCCAGGGCTGAGGATCACTCCACTGAACTCTGACATGCTACCACCACATTGTGCTGAAAAAAAAAAAAAAAAAGCAAAGACCTTTTTCAGAGGAGTGAAATAAGTTAAAAACTAATCCAGAGCACTGAAGATCCTCATCACATTAATTATACAAAAATAGCTATGTTTATATTTCAAAAAACATACAAATATTCCTTTAACACTACATATCTATAAGAAAGTAATTTACAAGTGGGGAACACATGCACCTGACAAGAGAATAGAATCATTTAGGCTGGAAAAGACCTCCAGGATTACATGGACCAACATCTGACTGATCCCCTTGTCAACTAGACCATAGCACTAAGGGCCATGCCCAGTCACTTCGTGAACACCTACAGAGATGGTGACTCCACCACCTCCCTGGGCAGCCAGAAATTACCTGAAATGCCTTTTCCTGACCCTCCTCTTCTCCAGGCTAAACAACCCCTACTCCCTCAGCCCCTCCTCATATGACTTGTGCTCCAGACCCTTCACAAGTTTCACTGTCCTAATGTTTGTTCTGTCAGGCAAGAGGCACAGATCAGCTCATGGCAGCACTGAGAGTTCTGCATCAGTTTGTAAAGGAGCATTTGAATAGTAAAACAATGTATTTTAAAGACTCTGTACTCAAAGTGTTTCAAGAGGCCTTTCAAAAACTGTATTTGTATCCTACTGTTCTAAAAATGAGATAAAATAAACAGACTTTGAAGAGGTACATACACACATGCTTCTAGAAATCGAACAAAATCTGTATTTCAACTTTTTTTTTTTTTAAATATGACATTAGTGAATAAAGTAACTTGGACTTCCATATTACATTTAAAGATGTTAATTATGATAAACAGAATTTTTGTTTAACATCTTTGACGATGTAAAAGTTGCTACATCATTTGAAACACAAGTAAAAATAATTACTAGCAAAAAAGAAGGAAAAGAAAGGAAAGGAAAGCCTCCTAAAATTTTAGCACAGTGTCTTAGTCTTCAGAATTTACCAAGAGCAATGCAATTATAATATCAGACTTTCTAACCATATGTTAATGCTTAATGACAGAAACTGAAGACTAACTCCTGAAAAAATTCTTACAAATACCTCAGTCTTGTTGAATATTTATAAATTCTAAACTGAGGGAGCTCAGTACCTCATAGGAGGTTTTTAATACCCCACAGGATTAAGAACAGGATTATGTGAGGTTGCTAAAGAGGATAGATAATCTGTCTTCAAGAAAAGCAAAGTAGAAAATCTTTAATGAGCAGGATCCTGTTTTCCATACATTCAAGATTACAAATACTGATAACTTTTAGTGTTAGGGAACCCAAACAAAAAGGCATTTCTATGCAGTGAAAGAGAATACAACTAGAAGGGGTTTTACATTCCTCACATTTATTCTTCATACAGAGACAGTATATTTAAATACACTTCAGACTTTTCATTTTCATTTCTGAAAGGTTTTCAGTGCTTTTTTCAATAATATTAATATGGAAATGTATATAATATAACTTGAAAAATAATGTGTCTTCTGAAATTGGGTAGACACTCATTAGAGATGAAAATGCAATGTTACTTCTATTTTAGTATCTTCTACAATAGCCATCACTTTTCTCAGGAAATGAGTCCCAAATAAATTACCTACGTTTTTGAGGTCTCTGGAGGTCTCAGTCATGATAATGTATTGATGATAGATTCTTGCTAAACATACAGAATCATATCATAGAACAGTTTGGATCGAAAGGGACAACATACTTCTTTATTTTCCTACTTGGACATTTCAGAAAAGATTTGCCATTGTAAGTTTGAGACAACCTTTGAAAACCTTAAGATTAATTTGACCATTTTCACATTTAATTCCAGTTGTCCCTATTCTTCCCCCTACATGTATGTATTATTTTTATGTTCTCTGGCTTTCTCATTCTGGCATATTTAAGAAACATTATGTAAACTGAACATACCTAAACATATTGGAATTGGATAATTCCATCTTCTTACTGGTCCAGGCATACAAGTGATATGTGAATGTCCCTAAAATGACACAATATGTGCTAATTCATATAAAAAATATGCAGCATACAGCACAATATTAATATTACAACAAAAAGAATGTATCATTAAATACATCATGAAAATACATAAACCCAAAAGTATAACAATAATTGTACACCGTGAGTTGTATCATACCTTCAATACAACAGAGAAAACTGTGTCTGTAAGTCCACTAGATAATTGAGTCCACGACATTTATATTATTTCTAAGAGTATAGTAATATCCAGCTGGCATCTGTACACACTTCAGTATAAACCAAGGGTCTGGAAACTAAAAGTCTAACTCAAGCAATATTTACATAGTATTGATTTGCATTATTTGTTGAATATGAGAAAAAGACATAAATTACCTAAATTATACAGTGCTGACTTTACATCTTAAATTCATAATAGGAACACCCTCTGTGTTGTTCATCAGCTTGATATAACTGTAATTGTCTTCCAGCAACAGCAAAAAACCCCTAGAAAATCTTAGGAGAAAACTGTCCTTGGGATATCTTACAGCACCATATAGTCACACTGTACAAGCCAGAAAAACAATATGTAGGTAAGAAGCTTTACATGGGTGTTTGCACAGTCTATTTTCTTTATTTCACCCACTTACTGCAGCTTATCTGCTCACAAACTTGTATTTAAGTGTAGAATTAAAGCAGAGAAGAAAAAAAAAAAATTAAGTTGTTCTCAAGAATGACCAGTTAAAATCAGGCAACATAAGAAGTAAATTTCAATAGTCATTATCAGACCTTCAATCACAGAACATTTATTTTAGTTATTCTTGGAATGCTAGAAATCTTCAAACATGACTAGGAATTCTATCTTGAAGGGGCAACTGGGATACAGGTTCCAAATCCAAATGAAATCTGGAAGCAGACATGTCTATTTAGCTTCTATCACTATACATAAACTGCAGTTCAAGTTTTTTTGTCAAAAAATATAATTCAATTTCTATTTTTGGTGCAGTACATATGAACTCAGCATTTAGGTCTTCAGAGAATTATGTAAAAGACATATTTGAAATTATTAGCAGTTTTAAAACTTCATTTAGTTGTCTGACACTCATCAACATGTTATAGGTGAGACTGATATTCATGAAGAAAGACAGGAAGTTAACTTATCCTTTTGCTGTTTTGTTTCAAAGGTAGCAATAACTCCATCAGTGTTTAATCATGTGCTGTTATATACAAATTATTTTCCCCCTTTTGAAAACTTTTCTTTTTGCTATTTGATGAGCTTTTTGGATAAAAAAACCTCAAGATATTACTGAAAGAAAATAATTGACATTATCTGATTCTCTACAAAAAACAATTTTTTCCCCTTTGTTTGTTCTTATTCCCACTCTTTACTTTCTTTCTTTTCTGTCCTGTGCATAGACAACTACTGCTAATTGTTCATAAAGTGATTACACTTATTTTGCCAACACTTCATGGTCCAGCTATGAGTACCAAAGATGCCACCAATACTAGATAATAACTTACAATCACTAATTCAGAGGAAGCACAAAGCCATACGTTTCTGATAGAGTTTATATATGTATATTTAGATAGTTGCTAATTTAATATCTAGCAGAAAAGCCTACCAGTCCTGCAAACTCATCATGTGTTTACAATTCACTAAGAGTTCATTGTTGGTTTTATACTGACAGACTCAAACATACCCACGTTAAAGAACTAAAAGACACCATTTGAAATTGGAAAATCTATCTTACCTGAAGAGAATAACCCTGATCACATTGGAAGGACACCACATCTCCAACCATGTATCTATCCCCAATTTTGATTCCATTGCTTGGGGTCTGAGGTTCAGGACAAGAATCCAAACCTATAGCTGAGAAAAGCAGAGAGGTTTAAACATTACAAGGAACATAAAATATGGGTGTAGATTCACATAGAACTTCTCAGTTCTATATATTTGTATATATATTCTATCTATGTGTTTATAAGCACATTGTATTGATAAGTTTTTGGGAGCTTTTAGGTACTGGCAGTTGTCTGTGGACTAGTAAGTGGCATATTCTTTTGGAAAAAGTGTTATATAAGGAGAAAAAAACATGCTCCTGGAAAAGCTGGAATCCCATGGTTTGGACAGGTGCACTCTCCGCTGGATTAAGAACTGGTTTGATGACTGGGCCCAGACGGTGGAGAATGCTGCATCCAGTTGCGCACAATCTAGTGGTGTCCCCCAGGGACTGGTGTTGGGCCCAGCTCTGTTTAATATGTTTATTGATAATCTGGATGAGGGGATCAAGTGTACCATTAGCAAATTTGCAGATGACAGCAAGCTGGGGGGGAGTGTTGGTCTGCTGGAAGGCAATAGGGCTCTTCAGAGGGACCTGGACAAGCTGGACAGATGTCTGATTCCAATGGGATGAGGTTCAACAGGGCCAAGTGCTGGGTCCTGCACTTTGGCCACAACAACCCCCAGCAGCGCTACAGGCTGAGGACAGAGTGGTTGGAGAGCAGTCAGGCAGAAAGGGATCTGGGAGTTCTAATCCACAGGAAGCTGAACATTTCATTTTCATAACTTCCTGCTTTTTTTTCCCTGACCTGAAGTTGTAAGTAGCTGAGAGAGTACCTGCATTTCAAGAAAATGGCAGGATAATTCTATCTATAATTAATATTTAGTTATAGACAAGTGATCAGGTAGCAATTTATCAAGGCTGTGTTCTCTAACTGACTAATCAGACAAGCAGAGCATGGGATTTGCATATGGTAAAACTGACAAGAAATAACCGTGACACAATTATGCAGATCAGACACCAGAACCAATATAAGCAGAGGGAACTGCACGGCTGGGAAGGAAAAAAAAACCCAACCAAAATACACAAAAACCCCCCACTAAAACCACAAATCTGCAGCAAAGTTATATTTGTAATTACAACCTTTTCCACTAGTGAGGTACTCAGCAATAATAAAAAACATATGAAATAATTCTGTTTGCTCACCAAGCTGCAGGCATTTTGCAGTTAGTTAAGAAGCACAGCTGCTATTTTCAGTTTATTAATTCTCTCATTTTTGCCAAGTGACTAGTATTTGTGTACAACACATACATACTGTATAGTACATATGTTATTGTATTGAGCATAATTTGTAGATTTTGGCAAGGACTGGTGGGATGTGGGGCTGCAGTGGTGGCATTTGTGGGAAGAGACCAGGGCTACATTGGACACAGTGGATTAGGACTGTCGCGTGAGCATATCTGCATTTATTCCTGGCTGATGCAGATTCAGAAATGCTTTTCAGACAGCAAAAACAACTTAAGGATGAAAGCAAGACAAACTAAACTTCACAGTCCTCACAGTACAGGTTTCAGGCCTGAATTCTCTCACTCGGAATTAGATGACGACTTTACGAATGACTTTGAAATAACAATATGTAGCTCATTTTGTGCAATAGGACTAAATACTCCTCTTTCATATAGTTTAGATAAAACTGATGTTTGGAAACAGCAAGTACCCTTTATTAATTGAATATTTCTGAATTACCTGTATACTCAAGGTGAAATCCAGCAGCTGAAACACTGATATCAGACTGAAAATTTAGGTACAGATTATTTGATGTGCTGTTTAGAAGTGGAGGTATGGTTGTTCCTGAAAAGAGAATTCAAAACATTATTGTAATGAACAGAAACTGAAATAAATACATAAATAAGTGTGTGTGTGTGTGTGTGTGTATAAAGAGTGAAGGAGAGAAAAAGAGGGGGGGAAAGAGGTGGGAGAGGATGGAAGGGAGAGAGATAGGTCACATAACCAATTCCATAACATTTTGTCATCATGGATGCTATCAAATACCCGTCCCTATAAAACTTTTATTACATTTTCAGTGCACCACAATACCAGAGACATGAACTGTAGGCAAGCAAAGCCTATTATAAATTTATATTACATGTTTTTATCCACAAAAGGAGAAATACTCATTAGAGTTTTCTTAAAAGCAAGAGTAAATCCTGAAACCGGAATAATTTTAAACATAACAGTCACATGTATCAAGTAGCTCTGAAAAATATGTTGTAGGACTGTTCTTAGAAATGTGAATATTTATTTGTGTTTCAGCAAAAGACAAGATAATACTATTGTCTCTGATCTCATACCACAGACATGTATGAAGTATAATGAAGAAAAACAAAAGAAAATAAGAAAAAGTAAGGCGAACAGAATTGTCTACTTTATTAAAAAAAAAGGATAAACAATGCATCCTTTTGTCATGTAACATTTCAAGAGAAAACTGTTTTTGAAGTTTGTATTTCTGCACCTTGTTGTATAACTGGGAAAAAATAGGATTAATAGAGATCTAGTGTAGGAGTTTCTGAATTTTATTTCATTTCTAACATTTTTAAATATTTATAACTTTATGAAAGTCTGCTAATTGATGACTGATTAAAACAGAAATATTACCTATAGTGAATTATAGGAGAAACAAACACACACACTGTGTTTGTGCATGCTCATGCACACACACACACACACACACAAACACACACACACACAAACACACACACACTCTCTCTCTCTCACACAAGAACCAGAAAGAACTGTGTGTTTACAATAAAGAGTTGAATCTGTGAACCACTTATTGTAAAATCTTCTCAGTCACCTGAATAACTTCCAAGCCTTGGAGCATTGTTGTCAGCACCATCATAAAAGTCTAAGGAATCCCAGTTGTGTTCTGTGGCAAAACTCACCACTTGCACCTATGAAGAAAAATGTGAGGTAAAGAACATAAACTTCCCCTCTATATTCAAGCTCAAAGAAGACTCTAAATTGTAGCCTCTTTTGCTTTCAGTCACGAAAAGTTGTCTTACTCTTGTCAAAGAGAATGGAAAATCACCATTAAGTGAATAAAAAGAGAACTTTCTTTTATTTATTTGATTGCCAATTCAAACTTTAAATCCCATGATAACCACATATTACCTCTGACAAGAGTCAGACAACTGTGAAAATCATATGGGTTTAGAATATGATTTCCTTGTTTGGAGGACATTGAGGAGAAGACAAAACATGATATTTTCAGTTCCTGCACTTCTTTTTGTTTCTCTCTAGTTTATCCAGGACTAGACCAGCCCTATAGTGATGCATGCTTCTTCATCTATATTGCTTTCTTCATCTATGTTATTCAATTCTGCCTCTGGGTAAGAGCAACCTGCTGTATTTGGTTTCCTTCTTCACTGAATCATCCCCTGAGGAGGAGTTGTCACTAGAATGCTACAGAGAAAAGACAGAATAATCACTTTATTTCTTCCAGAGGTGTATAGGGTGATAGACCAATTTAAGGCCACAATGACTGTTCTCAGTGGTTACGGAAAGACCCTGGCACCTGGAGAGGGCATTCTAAGAAACCCATTGTAAGGTGATAAGGTTACACAAAAAAAAAGGACAAAGAGACTCTTGATGGCTTCCAGAAAGACCCCAGCACCTGGATGAGACTTCCCAGCAACAGACTGATAGAATCAAGGAAGGATGGAATGGTATGGAGATGGCATGGCCTTTCTTCACAAACATCTGACCTGATGGGAACTCAGGAACTCATAGGTCTATGTCATCCGTCACCCCAAATATTAATTTATTGACTATAGTCACCCAAACTGCCTAAGAAAAAAAAGTATAAAAAGAGATTGGACCTGAGCAAAAATGGGGGAGAAGTTCCATCATTTCTGTGGGGGTAAATGACGAGCTGCCTTTTCTCTTTTCACTCCTGAGGACGCTGCAGGGTGAGCAATTGTTTCCATATTTTACTTTGCTTTCACCTTTACTAATTGTACTTTGCTTTTTTAGTAACTGTACTTTGCTTCCTTATATCTTGCCTTATACATATTTTATCTTTACTGAAGGAAGACAAGGCTTTAGAAGGGTTAATTGAAGCATCTTACTGCAAAAACCCATTCTTCTCTCCCCCCCTTTTTCTACCTTGCTCTAAGGAGATTTTGTTCTGTACAAATTCTGTAGACATAACCCACAGGTACGTTGTACAAAGAGCCCAGAGGTAATAAATTATAGCCAAATAGGCTAAGGTAGACATTTGAATAGGTGAAATAGGCCTGAAGCCAAGGTTTTCTTCAAGCCTGGACGATCAGAACACTAGACAATAGAAAGTATGAAAGGTCTCCAGGGTCACACGATGAAGAAAAGTAGATTTGAGACCCCATGAGGAAGTAAGGCAGTATCTCCCACCATAACATTCCTCAAAATAGAGACCACACCTCAAACTCTGCCCTGACTCCACCTACTATGAATATTGTAATCTAATGATGCAATAATATGAAAATGTATGTGATTATGTTGTAATCATTGCCAAACCTGTATAAAATACTCATTCTGACCTAACCAGCTCGGAGCCTGTTTTCCCAGCAATAGCTGGCAGGCTGCCCGGCTGCTCAATAAATACCTTGCTGTTTAAAGATTTAAAATTCTGTCTTTAAGCAGTTTTTTTATCTGCCTTTTTGGGCATCATTACCTTACAGAATAATTGTACTTTGCTTTTTTTGCTTTCCCCTTTACCCTCACTTTGATATTTGACCTTTACCTTACAGATACTAATTTTACCTTGCCTTACTAATTTTACCTTGTAGACTTGTAAACCTTATAGACTACTGTGCTTTATTGCCTTAGATCACGTACTCATTGTACATGGTTTGCCCTTAAGTGTATATTTCTTGGTCTTAGTGATTTAAAGTGTGTGCTAGTGAGAAGCAGCAATATTCATTCCTTTTTGCTTTGTGTTAGTGAGCGTAGATTTTGTCCTAGTCTTTGTAAATTGGTCTGTAATGGAGGGAGGTTGCTTGTTGCTTGAGTTTTATATTGAGGTGTTATAGTGATCTACTGCTTCTTAGGGACTTGTATTGGTTTTGGAGTGCACGCTTCTGGTTTGAGGTTTTATTAGTTAAGTGGAACTTTGCAGTTAAACATTATCACCAATGACATGAACCCTCTAAGTTGTCACAGATTTATATTAATAAAAGTTATTCCATGAGCTGCTAAGAGTTAGTTGGGGTTTTCTTTATGTTTTTTTGATGCTTGCAGGCTTGTCAACAGTGAAATAACTCATAGGAGAAAATTGCTGAGAAGGTTCTCCATTGTCATTAAGAACAGTCTCTGTAAATAGGGTATCAAAAGTCCTGTCCATCTCAGTGAATCTTACAAGCAAAGGGTCTCTCCCTAAGGAGACACTGACTGACTGTTTTCCTACTTTAAAGGCTTTGAAATCCCAGGAGGGGGACACTAATAGACAAAAAATATATATTAATACAGGTGGGACAGAAAATCCTTCATTTTCGCTCCTTTTCACATGACAAGGTGTCAACATGCTTCCTCTCACAAAGATGTGCAAAGTGGTAAAACTCCAAGAAGCAGGATATATTTGTTCTCATATAGTGAAATTACACCTCACACAGTAGAGAAATGCCAGGTTCCTGTTCTGGAAGGGAAAGAGTCTGGTGTTTTTTATTTGTTTTACTGAAACAGTTTACTGGAAAGCTTTTAAAGAGTGGCAGAAGCATGATGAAACCTCAGTCCCTCTCAGAAATGAGTACCCTCATCGTTAAGTTAGAGAATTATGTTTCTTCTGCATCAATTATTCTTCTGTTTTTTTCTTTTTTTTCCAAAATGGAATAGCTTCAGTGGAAGATATAAGCAGCAGTTCCAGTAAAACTAAGTAATGAAGTTATTTTTCTATGTCAAATGTATGACTTGGGCCTTCTTCTACATAAAAGGAATGTTTAATTTGGCTACCTATTTCTTGGATGGAGGCCTTAAATACTGTTCTTTTTTGTAGGAATTGGCCATATAGTATGGGCAAAGGATTTTTTTTTTTAAGTGAAGTATTGGAGAGGCCCTGACTGCTGGCATGTTTTAGATACTTGGAGTATGCCCACTGGGTCTGGTCTTCAAGAAAACTTTGAGACTTGTCTGTTTGGTTCACTTACAATGAAACTTATGGGTGTTGTCTTTGTCAGAATATTTCTGAGGAGGTACAGATGGTGATAACAGGTACATAGGAAACCTTCAGAACAAATTTCAAATTATCTGACATATAGGTGTTCTCAGAGACAAATTGATACTAACTATAGTTTTTATGTTCATCATAAAACACCTAATTCAAAACATTTATTTTAGTGAAACTGCAGCTAGTTGCCCTACCTTGCAGTTGCCCTAACATGCTGCCAATAAACAGGCAGACATTCCTTCAGGCAGTGATTGCAGTCAGTGTGTATTAGATGTTTTGAATTATCTACTTGAAGTGACTTTCTGTCCTAACCTTAAAAGAAACTATGGTTGAATTAATTTCCTAATATAAGGTATTTAAGTTTTATGCCCAAAGGGAAGCTTTTGGTGCACACTTTACATTTATCTAAATATACTTCTAAATGTCTGCTTTTTTATTTGATATGGGAGAGCTTAACATTTGCATCTGATCATAATATTTCAACAAATTCAACAAAGTAATCATTCACATAGAGAGCTTTTTCACCTAAACAGTCTAAAATTCCCTATCCACATTTCACAGAAGCTTTATTATTTTATCTCCTTTATAGATGAGAAAGTGTCTTTGTTACCTTGAGGAAATAATATTAGTCAGGAAAAATGTCCAGATATTTTACGCATTTACATAACACAAAAGCATTATCTATTACAGTATCTTGAATATCTGCACTTGCATGTATTCTCAGATTGGAAAAAATCAGTCACCCAGCTTTTCAAATGTGGCCTCAAGTAACTGATTTTGATAGTAATAATTACATTTTTTTATATGTATATCCATTTTTTCTTTCCCAAGCAGTAAAAAAAACCAAACCCAAACCAATTCTATTGCCATTTTTCACATTATTAGTAGATAGAAAGCAAAGCTCAATTGTGAAAAGTAACACAGTAAAAATGGTAAGATGACTTCTCATGCATCCTCAGTCTTACTGACCCCGTATCAGCTTTATTCAGTTTATTAAATCAGGTTCATTATCTTTCTGACACCTATTCCTGACAGTCAGACAATATTGGAAGGATCAAGCATCAATGTCACACTTCAGGACTGCCCTGCTCCAGTAACAATGTCAAACATTCTATAGATCTAATTACAATAATGCAGGTATGGCCAAAAAACTGCCCTGCTGTCACTACATTTACACAAGTATAAAAGAATTACTTCTTCAGTAACTGATAATAGAAATGAAGGAATTTGTTAACTCATCAAAAAAACTTGGGAGAACTAGAACAGATGGAAACAGTAAATATATATTTTTTTTAATTGTGACTCTGAAGCAAAAAAATATCATGAAGAATAGACACTTTACTTAAAATCAAAATTAGTAATTTAATCACCTAGTGCAGTCTGTGATAAGAGATAAGCACTTCCAAAAAACAATACTGATGGCCATAGTCAGGATGCTGGATTAATACCTAATTTAAATCCTCTAAGATATCCTCCTAGTATAAGAAATACACAGAATAAATTATCCTAACTGTCTGCTATTCTAGTCAACTACTGAAATCAGTGTTCCTCAAAATCAATCTCAAAACTGATTTAGGTTATTAAATATGATTGTTAATGGACATTGGTAGCTTTGAAACTTAAACTCTTACATATTATTGTGTATAGACTTAGGTTGTATTTGTGATGATTTCTAGGTTTTTTCCATATTTTTGAAAAGTTTTTATTAAGCCTTTTTTAGTTATTTAAAACAAAAATATATAGATTTTTCTGAATGCTTATGAAGTGGCAAAGTATAAACTCATATTATTTTTGCAACTTTTCTTGACAGCAGAATACTTTAAAAGCTCTGTGATGCAATTTATTAAAAAGCTTTAATAAACTTTTGACAGTGGTTTTCCCGATTTTCATTATTAAATCTTTACCTCCAGAAACTGAGTTCTTTATTTATTTGCTATCTCCATCCTGTGGTTTAGGAATGATAATCCTAAATTTAGTACTCCTACTAAAAAGACTACAAACTGCTCTACTCCATCGCCTCATAGAAGAGACACAAAAATTAGAGATTATGGGTTTAGATAAGAACAATTTACTGGAAATGACAAGATAAGTAAAAGGAACAGGAACATTAAAAATATTAATAACTAAAGTATACAAAAGAGTGATTCACATGCAAAAATGCTCACTGAGGACATCTGTGACAGTGAACAAAGGCAAAGGAGTTCTCCATTCCACCAAATTTTTTTGACCAGATGTTTTGCCCTTCTTCTCAGAGGCCAGAGTCCCTTCCCCTGCCCCCAGCAATGATGTGAGGTGGTATTGAATAACCTCCTAGCCATAGCCACAGATCCAGCCTCTGCTCCCTCACAGTTACTGCAAAAAATTAACTTTGTCTTGACCAGAACCAGGACACTACAAAAAGTTATATTTTGAACTGAGGAGAGGCATGTTGCTATCAAGGTTTTTCAAACAGTATATTTTAGGAATTTGTTCAGATCATTCTTAAAAGTCCTAATCTATTAAACTCAGCTGCCTTTCCAATAAGCAGATTTCTGTCCGTTTCTTTAATCAACTCTTTAGAGTGATATAAGCATGACTTAGCTTAATGGATACTTTCCTACTATGTGTTCAATGAAGTTCTTAGTCTACTCAAGTAAAGAGAATTCTGATACTCTTAAAGGATCAAGTCCCATCTCATGTTGAAAAACACTGAAGCATCTTTAGATCACAATGAACTTCCATAAGCATACATTAAATAACAGAGTTTCTTTGAAAACATATATAACTTGTTAACAGAAGCAGCTTAATTTAACTCTGTTAAAGGAGATATATAAATTTGGGGAGAGCAAAAAAAGAATTCATAGGAAGGCTCTCTATTTCCTTTGGCTTACAAGGAGTCACTGATCTACTGAAAGAACACATTTTAAAGCTATGGTGATTGTCTTCTAAGTAAAAAGTTACAAGAGCATCTTTTAAGATTATTAAAGATCTTTTTTAATCATTGTGTAAATAAAAAGATGTGCAATAAAGATCATTTTAAGAATCATTAAAGACATTGAAAAATTTATGAATAAATTATCTTTTCATCCTTGTTCATCAGGAAAAACAGTTCTAATTATGATGATAACAAGCAAATAGCAAGTATACTCACTTGAATCCCAGCTCCCTCTGGTACTGTGATCTTCCACACACAATTCAGATTGTTGTCATAAGGCTCAGGGTAACCAGGAGACAAAATGGTCCCTTTGCGCTTTGTTAAAATACCACCACAGGGCACTGAAAGGAAATGCATAAGGCAAGAAAAGAAGTATGAAGCTTCAGAAGTGAGAAAAGTTTTTAAAGTTATACCATGTTCAGTTACCATAGCTGAAAACTTTTTAAATTGATGTTACATTAAAAAAATTAATTACATTGGCCTCAGGAAAATAAAACTTTATATCTCAAAAACCTTCTTGACAAACAAAGAATAAGGGAAAGTTAGAATTATGTCAGTTTCCTATCCTACCTGATGGAATCATACTTATATTCCCCTTATTTATCTGACTTTTAACGAAGCGAAATCCATTCCAGTGTCTCCTAGTAGTCTTAAAAAACATAAAGCATTTTTAGGGGTTAATAATGAAGTTTGAACAGTTCTGTATTGTATTTGTATAAAAGATTAAAGTGTCACCAAAAAAGGTAATGTTCTTTCTTAGTATTGCTACTTTGTTGTCTAAATAATTAATAACACCAGTCTCAACTCCTTGACTGTTCCCTGCTTGTGTGAGTTATTCTATTACAGACTGTGGATCTATTGCATCATTAAAGAATTTGCAAAATCCTTGCAAGACTGCATTCATCACATCCATGTCCATGGATTAATGAAAGTGTTATGCATGAAACAAGACAGACACATTAAGTACTATGAAGTTTTTCTTGTTCAGCTTGAATGCATCTTGTCTAGATCATTAGATGCTCCAACAGGGACAAAAGATATTAAGCTTAATCTGCATGCAGATATTCTGTTGGTATTTTAGAAGCTGAAGGAAAAGATTGATGAGATGGTTTATCAAACCCATTAGAAGCTAATGTATCACTTCTGTGCAACACTACTAAATTCTGAAGGGATTTCAGGAGCTACAAATACGAGAATTTAGAAAATGGAAGAACACATCTTAACAATAAATATTGTAGCTACATTTTGTGTGGCATATAATTGATAGAATCTATTTGGAACTACATGGATACATTAAAGGCTAGTGTCATTTAAAGTGTTAAAAAAATTACTCATAAAAGGATTGAACAGACGGAATGATTGATGTCAGGCTGTACCTCAAGTCCTGTGTTCAGTTCTGTGCCACTCACTGCAAGACATTGAAATGCTGGAGCGAGTCCAGAGAAGGGCACCAAAGATGGTGAAGGCTCTGGTGAGTATGTCCTATGAGGAGCAGCTGAGAAATCTGGGGTTGTTTAGTCTGGAGAAAAGGAGGCCTGGGGAGACTTATTCCTCTCTAAAACTATCAGGAAAGAGGTTGTAGCAAGATGGGGGCCTGCTTCTTCTCCCAGCCAACAAATGACAGTACAAGAGGAAATGGCTTCAAGCTGCGCCAGGGGAGGTTTGGTTGAACATCAAGAAGAGTTTTTTCATGGAAAGGGTGGCTAAGCATTGGAACAGGCTGCCCAGGGAGGTTGTGGAGTTACCATTTCAGGAAGTGTTCAAGAAATGAATAGATATGGCACTTAGTGCTATGATCTAGCTGACAGGGTGGTGTCTGGCAAAGGTTAAACTCAGTGATCTTGGATGTCTTTTCTGACTTTCGTGATTCTATGATTTGATGATTTTAAGTCTATTATATGTACAGAAATATTGAAATATTCACTAGAATTAAGGCAATTTAATATGGTCATGTCTACCTCTTCAATTAATAAACTGATTTAGTTCAGTGCAGTTTTCACTTCGTATGTATTTTATCATCTCTACTGCCACAGGGATTCTCATACAGAAGGTGGTCTGTAACCCTTCCTAGTCCAACTTGCTTAGAGACAGATAGCTTTCTCTTCCATAGATTAAATCATGTGTTAAAATATCAATAATATATTGTGATCAATGTTTAAAATGATTACTTCAACACTTTGTCAAGTTGTTATATCTGAAAAAACAAATGGAATACGTTTCAAGTGGAAAAATAGTAAAATTCTACTGGTTAAAATGTAATCCCTGAGAATAAATAAAATACAGTTAGATACTTAATCTTTTTATTGATATAGAAATTGTGATTCTCTTGCTGTACCTGTCTAAGAAAGCAATATTTGTGTATAAAAGCTGTTTAATCATATTTTATAAATATTACCCCACTGACAGTTAACCTTGATCTTTGTCAAGATTTTAGTATTTTGGAGGTAATCATTTACTTTACCGAAAACCACTCAGACTTTGCCATGCACCATCAGCTGATTATCACAGAGGATTAAAAATGAACCTAATGAAAATATGTTCTTTATTTTATTTTATTTTCATCCAATTACCTAAAACTCTCTTTATGTACTTCTTAATGCTGGAGTCAATATAATAATGTCTTTTTTGTAATGGGCTACAATAATTTTTATAAAAAAATTTGTTCTCTATCAAGAAAAGTAAAGTAACTATAACTCATAAATATATTTACTGTTTTGGTTGATAATAGAATTCTTCAGATGTCTTAATCCTCAAAATTAATAGTGTTCAATGTATTCAATTTGCACAAAATTAATGTATAACGCAGTTAAGTTCTGCAACACATAGTACAAGTGGAAGACTTTGATGGCATTGCAAAAACATTTGTGCAAATGATATCCAAATTTGATTAATTTTTAAACAGTTGATTTTTTCCATATTAAAAACCAATCCAAACTCTAATAAAATTTAATATGCAAATATGCCATATTTGCCCTTGATGTAAACCGATAGAAATTATAATTTTATCTCATTACTGTAGGGATTTTCATTACTATTACTAGATTTCCACTTGGTGCAAGTCAGTTTATAAATGTCAATGGATGTATATTAATTTAGGAATTTAATTTTGAGAATTTAATCTTGTATAACTAGAATCAGACAAGGTATGTTATCTGATCTGAAATGTTACTGTTTTTTCCTAGCAAGTAATGTAAAATCAGTGTTATTATCTCCAAATCTTTAATGTAGTAGTTTCTTTCTAATAACTTAAAATATCTTGTTAGAGATCTGCAATGTGACAGTATCTTAGTCTTGCAAGTCAGGGCACCAACTAAAATTTTTGAGTCTTGATTAAGGGACAGCCAGGGACTGTCACTGATGTTAACATACAAGAAGCTATCACATAATTTATAGCAGCAGAGTATGTTCATGAAACCCATGAAATGTCACAGCAAGGTTAGAATTGAAAGAAGAATAAAACTTATCCTTGAATGAAGAAGAAACTGAATGAAAGTAAGCAAGAGTGTTGTACAGATGTCAAAGGATAAACACATTCAGTTAGAAACGGTCTACACTTTAGGTCGTAATTATTTCTATTAAAAAGCCTTAGGAACTCACCAACACATGTAGGGAGTGAATCATTCCATTGTGCCAATGCATTTGGTACTGTATCACATCTAATTGCCGTTGACCCATGGAGGATATAGCCTGGATTGCACTCAAAAAGAACCAATGAACCAACTGCAAATTCATTTCCAATCCTTTTTCCAAATCTTGGTTCAGGCACAGAGCTACACTGTGTTGCACTTGTTCTTGGAACAGCTGCAAATATACAAACAATTGTAGATTCCTAATTTTAGATTTAGTGAAGGAATACAGATTTTAAACCACAACCATTCAAAATTACTGGAAGAAACTTTCAATGATTTCCCAGTAAGGAACGTTTTCATAATTCTCAAATGAATCTTCACAATAGAGATTGCATACTTTTGATGTCTGATTTACTATTTAGAAAAGCATAGCACTGATATCCTTGCCAAGATTAGAAGCAATGCATAATATCCACACCAAAACCTTTCTAAAATGACATTGATAAGAGATACTACCAAGAAATACTCAGCTAATGCAGGATTTCAAAATGGCATTTTTTGTCAGATAGATATTTACATTGATACCTGTGAATTTCTAAGTGTGTATTTTGAGTGTCAGATCAGGATTTGAATGTAATGAAACAATGAATTGGAGTTGCAAATATTGATAAATAACAATTTTTGTGTTTGACCCATAAAAAGGCAAATAATCAAGAAAATAAATCAAGAAAAGTATCTTAATAACAGTAAGATCAATTTTAGCCCACAGGTAATAACATTTACAGCTACTCACATTTAAATTGAGAGGTAAACAAGTTTGAACACTCAGATGGATCCAAAATTTGTCAATCAGATTAATAAACAGAAACAGTAACTTTGTATGTGTCTTCTTAAATTTGGAACTACTCCTATGCTTATTAGGTATTTGATTTAAGCTTTAAAATACAGATAAAAGAATAATCTAAATATTTTTCAAAAACATACAGAAATACATGTTTTGTAATATAAAAATGCTTAGAATATATTAGAACATAATATATGTAGATTATACAATGTTATATTCTTAACAGGCTGTTGCTTTCCTCTGAATTCTCAGTCTCTCTCTGATGATTTACAAATTACGATGAACAGAATAAATGTGCACATTTTTCTAGGTTGTCTCACCTTGATAAACAAAATGAAATCCTTTAGCTGTTATTGGTCCAACTGAAGTAAATCTAACTGTGATCTGGTTCCCTGAGCTCAGTGGAAGGGATTCACCTACTCAAACAAAGCAAATATAAAGTTATCACAACCACTTTTTACTAAAGAGGAGTTCAAAATACCTGTCAACTTTTTTGCAGCTAGAAGTAATACTCTCTAAACCCTGTTCTGCCTCAGTAAACTTTGCAAGATATATGCTTTTTCAATATTTTATATTGACAGTATTATGCCATTGTAGAAAAGGGGGGGCTAAAACTCAGTTACTAGGAATAGTTGATGGTATTTTCTTTTTTAACAAAACCAATCAAACATACAAAATAGCAACCAAATTAAAAAAAACCAAACAAACAACCCAAAATACAAAAAACACCCCCCCCTTTCTTAATTGAGTCAATATGCAATTAATCTATATAATAATCTAATACATATCTTTCTAGGTTAGAAAAAAAACAAAAACCAACAAAGAAATAAAAAAGAAACAAACAACAAAAAAACAGTTTAATTACAGTTTTATTAAAGGATACCTGAATGAGATCCTGAGAGAGAGGATAACAAAGATGACTGTAGAGTTGGGCCATCATATACTTCAACAACATCATGAAGTGATGTCTGGAAAAACACAAACTGGCCAAAAACAACTGACCAAATTGAAAGGAAAAGAAGTAAGAGGCCCCAGTAGCCGAGGGAAAAACCAAAACCAAAGCCAAACACAGGGAACAGATTGAGAAAGGGGAAAAAAAAAAAAAAAGAGAGAACAAAATATACATTAATATATTGTTTTAAAAATTATTACATCAGCAGTCCTTGTGCTGAATATTAGTTATTTTTCATACCATTACAGCAGTAAAAGTATAAAACTACATACAAAAGAGACAACAAACAATAAGGGTATACAAGCCATACATGTACATATAATTGTTAAAAGATTCTAGTAATGAGGGAACAAAATGATTTTCCTGCTGTTGAATATACTTTCAAATTCTGTGCTCTCCCCCCGCCAACACACATCTTGATTCTCAGCGCAATGTCCTTTACAATCCAGGCATATTATTATATATTGTGCTTTATTAATTACTTTGTTGATAAGCCTACGTAATTTTTACTTACCTTAGAATGTTTCATTTTTCTTAAAAATATTAACATTCAATGTATCTTTGCCTTTGTGAAATAAATGAGTAACTGATTCAAGGTAAGAAATACTTTTCAGAACACATCTATTGAATGACAAGTAATACTAAAGTCACACTATAAAACAACTCAATTCAAGACTTATTTTTGCACTTAAGTTCAAAGGTTTGTGCTGCACATTCACACCACAGGTGTTTTCACCTTCAATATAAGTAAACAGAGAAAAGAAAAAGAATTATTTGGGTTAGTTCTGACCCCAGTACCTAGAAAACATACCTACATCACTGGCAACGGAGAGGAAAATTGCTTAAGGATTGTACATGTCTAAAGGTGCAAGTAGTGAGATATTTTAGGTACAGGAACATCTATAAAAAGAATCAGTTCTGGTTCATTAACCAGGTTAGACATTTTGGGATAAATATTCCAGCGCCTTGCTACTAGATTACAAGAAAACTAGAAAACCAAGAAAACCTCTTTTTGAAGAGAAAAACTGGATTTACATTTGTAAAAGTTTCCAACAAAAGTGTTTCCAAGACACTTAGGAAGATTTTTGTGCATTTTTAACAGGAACCAAAAATGATATGTAAGATTATATTCATTATTTCTTCTCCAATTTCCAGAAAATTAATAATCGATGTTTTTACTAGCTCTGCTTGTTTTCAAAATAATATTTGCTGGATTCAAGTCTTCTCCTTGGTGTTGCTAAAGAAAAGTGACAAAATTTTTAATCCAGCCAAGTGTTTCTCTCAGATTTCTACTTTTATCAAATCTTAGTTTCATACTCAATGAATTCCATTCTGCCATTGAACCAAGTAAAGTTCCTTGAGACCTCCATTGTTACTTCCCATTTTGAAATAAGTTTTAAACTATGTACAGAAAATTCAGGCAAGTGCTGAGGTACACATAACAAGCACATCTAACTGTTGTCAAGGGTTGTATCCTGGGAAAACTGTAAAAATAGAATTGATAAGGTATATTTGTATTTAATGGGTTATTATAAAATATTTACACAGCAATTATACCATATAGTGAGTCAAATTCAAAGGCCTTCCATGTTTCGTATTTCAAGATTGTTTTTGCCTCCAGCTTTGTCTTGAAAACTTTACTATCTAAAAATATAACCCTGAAGAAAGTGAATTAATATGTTACTTAAAAGCAGTTATTTTGGAAAGAGAAAGGTACACATATCATTTGTGGTAACTGTTTTTTCAATACCAGTTGTGCTTTTCTTAATAAAATACAGAAAAAAATATGAGAAAGTAACCAAAAGTTTTCATTGATTTAAGGTAAAATGTACTAAGAAGACATTTGAGATTAATAATGTGTCTGAGACATCAAAAGATCTGACAAATAAGACTTACTGGCAGGAAGTGTTTAATATGGAACAGCAGAAAGCTCAAGTAAGGGTTTTTGAGCCCACAGTTTTATGATCAATATAGGTTTAAGTGAATCAAGCTGCTGCTTCAAGTCAAGCAGGAATACAGTCTAGACAGCATGGGAGTCAGAATTTAGATTCTGTTCCTTCCTCTTTCTGTGCCAGGATACTGACTGGATGTTAATTAGACTGTGGAATACTGTAATGTATAGTGACCAATACTTGACTAGATGAGATTGTGTCACAAGAAGGGAAATTCTGATCATCACAGAATCACAGAATATGCTGAGTTGGAAGGGACCCACAAGGATCATCGAGTCCAGCTCCTGGCCTGGCACAGGACTATCCCCAAGAGTCACACCATGCGCCCAAGAGTATTGTTCAAGCACTTCTTGAACTCTGTCAGGTTTGTTGCTGTGACCACTTCCATGGGAAGGCTATTGCAGCACCCAACCACCCTCTGGGTGAAGAACCTCTTCCTAATATCCAGCCTAAACCTGGTGACTATTTTCAATCATCTTGATCATCTCCAATATTTGGAGAAGGTGACCAGGACTGTTTGCTCTATCACTTTCCCAGGTACAGAGGTGAGACCAGCTGGCTTATAGTTTCCTTGATCCTTCTCCTTGCTGTTCTTGAAGATAGGAGTGATGCTTGTCTTCTTAGAGCCTCGGAAAGTTTCCTCAGCTGTCGTGACCTTTCAAAGGTCCTCCCATGCATCCTATCATGTCCCATGGGTTTGTGTTTTCCCAGTTTGTTTAAGTGCTCCCTCACCTAGTCCTCCTCCAAGTCATTCTTTCTCTAAACTTTTCTACTGGAGTCAGGTTCTGGGATAGTTCAAGATTGTTTTACTGGTGAAGACTGTAGTTAGGAAGACACTTATTAATTCACTTTTCTCTGCATCCTTTTTCATCAGGGACTTCATCACATTCAAGAATAGATCCCCATCTTCCCTATATTTCCTTTTGTTGCTGAGATATCTGTAGAAGCCTTTCATGTTTCTTTCCAGTTTCAACTCTAGATGGGTTTTGGCTTTCCTAACCCTACCTTTTTAAGCATTTTTATTCCTCCCAGGACATCCCAGGACATGGGACCTTGCTTCAATCTCTTGAACACATTTTTTTTTTTTTTTTAATGTTAAAATTTTATCACTAGTTCCTTGTTAACCTATGTGTTTTTGTTTTGGGTTTTTTTTTGGTGTGTTTTTTTGTTTGTTGTTTGATTGGTTGGTTGTTTTGGTTTGTTTTTGCTACCTTCCCCACCTTTACTTGATACCCTGATCATTGGGAAAGTCCATTCATGATTCTGAAGTGGTGATCCCTGAAAATTAACTGTACTTCCTGGACTTCTCATCTCTCCAGAGTCTCATACTGTTAGATTCTTCCAAAAGAAGTCCCTGAATTCCTCTCACTTCTGACCTAGTAAATAATTAAACTCAACTCAAAATTCAAATCTTTACAGATAGAATATAATACTTATTAACACTGGTACTGATCAAGTAATATCTACCTGGATAAAATATATTTTATATATTATGCCAGCTATTGGTTCTAAAGAAATACCCTGAATAACTTGCATGGATATCAATGGAATTAGATGACAATATAATTCTTAACCTTGAGTTTCCTGTTTTCAGGTATATTTTGTATGCCTAATCATTTATTGAACTCAGAAAGCTCTAGTGTAAAATCAAGTAGATTACTGATGTAATTCACTTGCCTTTAAGATAACACCAGAAGGACTAACATGGATTAAACATTGTTATTGCATAAACTGAAATATGCATTTTGCATAAGCCCTCCTGGTGAAGCTCCCAATATTTGCTTCAAGGCTGAATCAGCATTTATTATGACATTTATATTAATAAGACTTTTCTACTATGTTTAAAATAGGTTTCTTCTAACTGTGAATAAAAATTTAAAGTGTTCAGTTGTCTAACAGTTGTGGTATACACATAGTTCTAATTATAGAGCTACAAGACTTCCTCAGAATTTGAAGTTACTCTGCAGAAGCTAACTTCTCACAGTTTAAAACATAATTTCTGTCATCAGTATAAATAATCTTTACAAATGAGAGTTCTGTTCACAACAGAACGAAGACTTTATTTCACAGTAAAAAACCCCCCAACATCTGCCTCTAATGATAGCTCCATCAGCTCCACTGATGATATCCTCTCTTTGCTTACGATTTAGGCGTGATTTTTTTTTCTATGAAGTCCTATGAAGGAATTAGAATACCATATTTAATTCTTTTAATATCTCATTAGAGAGATGGTCACTATGGTGATAACAAGTACACCCTAAGAAAGAAGAAGTGCAAATTTCTAATGCATCTGAACTCCCAAGACTGGAGACCCCATTCACTGTTCTCAGTGGTGGATCATGGTCAGTCAGCTAAATGAAAAACAACAATGGAGAAAATCTTTGCTTTAAGTAAGCGGGATTCAGGCAAAACTACAGGAAGCAGGAAACTGCTGTGTGATGTTCTCTCTCAGTGAGAAAGACCCAGCAAGTCTTTATGGCTGATCATATTGGTTCCGTTAATTAAATCATCATCAGATAGGAGAAACTCTTGTGCCTATTCTCATAAGATAGACATGAATTCTTTACAAAATCAGACACCTGTATTAATATTTGACTACCCTAGTATGAGGACAATCACTTTTAACCAGCTTTCTTGCAGAGTATTTAAGCATTTAGCTTCATAACAAGCAGCGGATAAGAAAAAATGTATGAAGTTTTATTTTGTGTTTAGGATGAACTAGCAATACACTGTGGTGTATTGATCTAACAATACAAATGATGGACTGACTCAAATATCTTAAAATTAAATTATGCTCATGTAGACACCACATAAACTGATATTCACCCCTACTTCCTGAGAAAAAGTGGCCAGTTAGACTGCAAGATAATTTGAATATATGTTTAGCTTTTTGAAGAGACATTGTTCAGTAATCCCTGAGAAGGTTTTTGAAGGAAAAGACTGAAAGATGACATCCTAAAGGGATGATCTTACAGAATCTAC